TGATCAGACGCTTAATGTCGTTCTGGTCTTCCTCGTTTAAAAGGAGGTGGTCATAAGTCTTTTCGCGCGTGTTGTGCGCTACAAAAGTAGAACTGAAGTTTAAAAAACAAAAAATCATCAAACACAGAGTAGCAGTACACCACTGTAGAAATAGTAGTAGGGTTTACAGGAAAATTTTCTTTGACGTAAGTTGTTAAACTACAATTCGTAATCGTAAAATTACATGCAGTACGTATCGACGTAAAATGCACTGGCGAGTAAAAAAATGTTCCCTCGTAAATTCACAAATAAAATTATAATTCAAGTTTACACTTTAGTTTGTAAATTTACGACGGTATCTTTCACAGTTGAAGTGTCGAATTTCACACTGAAAAATGTTTGCAGGTTTTTCGCGAAACATCTCGCTTAAAAATGTTTAGGTTACAAATTTAAATTTAAATCTACAACATCGTTATTTTGGCGCAACATTTCGAGACTGCACTGCACTCACCGTATCAAAATGGTCCTTGGGGAACGACATAAACCTAATCAGGACAGAATTCCAGCGGGTGGGAATGTCCTGCTTCAGTGTCTCGTCCAGTAAGTGGTTTACACCCCAACCTTCAAAGAGGGTCACATTTATTATTATTATTATTATGATTATGATTATTTTTGCGTCAATTGAACGGCAAATCTACCTGCCAAGTGATGAACATCGAACATAGTGAACATCGAACCAAGTGGAAGACAGGAATGGATGGATAAAATTTATAAAGAAGGAGATGAAGTCAAAACTACCGTAAAATTGCATCCAAATGACCCTCGTAAGGATACAAGATGCACAAAAGTGCAGACAGCGATATCACACTGCTAAAGATTGCCCAAAATAAGGTTTTCAGTTATCTCGTCTAACTAATTTTATTTTAAAACTCTTAGTTAAATCATCCAACTTCTGGGAAACACTGTACCTCAAGTGCCAAGCCAAACTAAAGTTGTGATCAATCCATAAATCATTCCTGTTTTAAGTGTGACAGAATTGTTCTGTGTTGTTAAAATGCAAATATTAATCAAGTACGGCCAAAATGTGTTCACTGTTGAAGTACCAAGATAACTGTTGTTAAAAGACTATAAATCGTTACTTTACTTGTTGGCTGAGCGATTAGCGAAGCCCATTACTCCACTGACCGGAAAAGTTTCATTCTGTTTGTCTGTTTGTATGTCTGTCCGCACGATAACTTGAGAATGAATTGAGAGAGCGATCTGGGAATTTCAGGGTCGTTTTGTATCATAAAAAGACAGATCGAGTTCAAAGATTAGCATTCTAGCTCAAAAATTGGCTTTTTAAAAAATCAAAAACTACAGGTCGCAAAATGTATTTTTATTAAATATTGTTTTATGCGTTCCTAAGGGGTAAACCGTCAAAGTAGAGCCCTTTGGGCGAAAATTTCGTCCGTTTGGCTCTATCTTGTACCGTTTAGGTGCTAGAGGGCATTTCTTGACAAAAATGAGGAGAAAATGACCAAATGGTCGATTAAATCGTTAACAAAAAGACTTCATTTCGAAAACTTGTATACACTCCTATTACCCCGTCTCGGGTATCAGCGCCGCAGGCCTAGCTATATGTGCGCCAGGCGCGTCGCAGCGTAACAGTGTTTCGTGAGATATCGCGAAGCCTGTTACGCGAGACGTGGTCTGGCGTACATATAGCTAGTGATAAATTGTGTTACTGTGCCAAAGCAAATGCTGTAATTAATTAAGTGTTCATGCTCAAGTTTGCAAAAAAAAAAAACAATGAAAAAATAAATAAAGGAGTTTCAATCCAAACACCTAAGTCATGCACAGAAATTTATTACAAAAGAAATGTACAAGTACAGAGACCAGGACGCAAGTCCATAAAGGGGCGTCAACAATTAGAAACTAAGTACAGAGACTAGGACGCAAGTCCATAAAGGGGCGTCAACAATTAGAAACTAAGTACAGAGACTAGGACGCAAGTCCATAAAGGGGCGTCAACAATTAGAAACCAGAGACTAGGACGCAAGTCCATAAAGGGGCGTCAACAATTAGAAACTAAGTACAGAGACTAGGGCGCAAGTCCATAAAGGGGCGTCAACAATTACAAACTAAGTCCATAAAAGGGGCGTCAAGAATTAGAAACAATTAAAAGACTAAGAACAAGCAGAGTAAGAACAAGCAGAGTAAGAACAAGCGTCGGCAGACAAAGGCAAAACAAAACAAAAAGGCCAACAAGTGTAAGGGATGAGACACTAACCTCACTCCTCGTTACCACCCGAAGCAGCGGCCATGGTTGGGCGCAGACGATGGATTTCAGTCTGCAGAAGAAGAAAAGTAAACATTGAGATCAAAACAAATAACAAAACATCAACAACAAGACAGGAGCCGAACAAACGAACGCACAAAGGTTTAGTGAGGATTCAGAGTTCACGAAACGCAAGCGTTATTTTCACGCCAGGCGTGATTTTCACGCTTCCTAAGCTTCACGCAGCCAATCAGGGATCGACTTTCATCACGCCGGGCGTGAAAATCACGCTTTGCGTGAGAATCACGCTCGCTATTTAGGGAACTCTGAATCCACCTTAAGCCGAGGCAACGCGCGCAATGGTACGCGCTATGAGGACCATAAAGCTCATCAATAGAAAGCTTTTTAAGCTTGAAAACTGAGACACCGGTCAAAATAAAATCAGGAGCCGCAAAAGGCGCACAAGCGCCACACAAAAATACGGATTCTCCATCCTCAAAAGCACAGTGATAGTGCAGAAAAACGATTACGGTCATGGCAAAGTAGAGAGGCGGGAAACCGTTAAGACAAAGCTTGGGACTCACCTTCCTCGTCGCTAACCAAGTCCACGACCTCAGGGTCCGGGATGGCTTCGGGCAGGTCATCGTAGACCCCGTTCTCTACATCTTCGATGATCTGCTGGATGTCAACACCATCGAGGACGGGCTGAGGGGCGACGAACCCAGGATAAATGTCTCCGGGTGGAGGGATTTGGGGAATCAAAAAAGGGCCATGGGGCAAAGCGGCCGGAGCTGGGCCACCCAAGATAATCTCAAAATAAAGATTATATGATAATCAGCCCGCTAAGATAAAGATGGAGCAAGAATCGGTTAGCAAACACTAGGAAACTTACGAAGCAGGGCTCCAAGCAACAGCCACAGCGATAGAACAGGTCATGATTGAGAAGGTAAGGCTCCAGGATTGCCTCAAACTGAATAAAAGAAGGCACTAAAACCTCCCAATAGCGACTCTGCTGCGTCGCTTGAATACACTGAACACAGATCTGAAAAGAAAAACCACAAAACTTAGCTCAGGGAGCCAAAAAACTACGGCTCTGAGAGCCGCAGGGACCCGGGTCCGGGGCGGGACGGGCAGCCCAAAAAGGACGCCATCCAGAAATAAAGGAATCACGGATGAAACACTAACTTTCTGATTTTGATGGACGAGATTATGGCCGACAAAATGTTGAATTAATACACGGGTAGCCATTATTAAATTAATGGATTGAAGCGGATAAGAAACAGAGAGAGCGGAGCGACCGGGAACGTCTCAAAGGAAGCGACACAATATGGCGGAGTGACCGTTGAAGGGAGTTGGCGCCAAAGCGCAGCGTCCCCACGGAAGGAGGGGAAAAGGAAGGAGTGGGGGTAACCCACTGCGCATGAGCGGCGCGCGCGGCCGGGTATGAGAATAAAAAAGGAACGCTGCCAGAACACTCTGAGCAGGCGGAGAGAGAGGACGGCTAGCAGAACAGCACTAGCCGAGAAATAAAGTTCTAAACCAAGGAATTGGATAAAGAACCAGAATAATTAAACACGTCAAGACTCAAGACAACGCTGGAATCAAAGGAAATCACCGATCAACGCAGGCATAAGAAGATCAACGCTGGATAAGATACACGGAGCATCTTTATTTTAAAAGTTAAGTATTCTTAACCTTCAAGAGGTTCGTAAGAAACGTGGTAGTGTTCAAAAATCAAAGGTGTCACGTAGATAGGTCTAGTCAGTCGTGTAGGAGACACCTAGGGCCAGTTAATTACAGCCCAAGGCAAAGGTTTAAGTGGTCAACAAATACTGTTCCAGGAT